ATCTCTCCCAACAGGAATTATCCTCTAGTCCTATGATCGGAAGGAACAGAAAGCCAAGGCATGGAAAGAGAAAGGATAAGATCCATTTAGACCCAGAAAAAGAGTGTCCTCATTTCATGGTGCTGCCTTATCTCTGCACTCTAAAAGAAAAAGTGCAGAAGAGGTAGGTAAGCATACAGGGCAATCTCCTTGCAAAATAATAACAACCCCAAACACTTCAGTACTGAGGAAGTCCCTGAAGCACAGGGAAATCCAGCAACAATCCCCACACTAGCAAAGAGGAAATGGTTAGAGGTAAAATCCAGCTGTGGCTTTGCACTCCTGAAAGGTGCAAACAATCATTAAGAAAATATTTCTTCATCATATATTTATGCATTAGCACTTTGAAGATGTTGAGTATGTCTGTCCCTTTAAAAAAAAAAAAAAAAAGTGAAGTTTCAAAATGTAATTTATTTATAAAGTACTACCTTATATTGATCTTAGGATCTTCCGGGAACTAAACTGTTCTAGTTTTCCCTTAATTCTTCTCTCAGATTGGTAGGAAGCCTATCATGAATGAGGAGATGCAATTCCATCAAATACAGTGTATCAATGTGCCTGGGAGGGATAGATGTAGAGTATTACTGTATCAGACTTTCTGGATACATAGTTTCATGTTAATTTAGCCATTTAAATTAAATGAGTGGAGGAATGAATAAGAATCTCAGAGGTAAACATTACCTATTATTAGCAGCTCTGCTGTCACCTCAGTGATCTAACAGAGGACATGCTGCATCCTTGGGAATGATAGAGTGGAGTGTCTGTGGGTAAGGATCAGGGGGAAGGCCTGTAAGGGTGGCATCTTGGTGGGGGTCTGTTATAGACTGCCTAATCAGGATAAAGAGTTGGATGAGGCATTCTATGAGCAGCTCATGGAAGTCACGTGATTGCCAGCACTTGTTCTGATGGGAGACTTCAACTTCCCTGATATGTGTTGGAAATATAGCGCAGAGGAAGCAGTACAGGAGGTTTCTAGTCTGTGTGGAAGATTGCTTCCTTACGCAACTGCTAGGAGAGCATACCAGGAGCGGTGCCCTGCTGGACCTGGTCTTTGCTAACAGAGAAGGACTGGTGGGAGAAGTGAAGGTTGGGGACCATCTTGGGCAGAGTGATCACAGAATTGTAGAATTCTCCATTCTTGGGAATGTCAAAAGAGTGGCCAGCAGAACTACCTTCTTGAACTTCCACAGGGTGGACTCTGATCTGTTCAGGGTGCTTGTAGTGCGGGTCCCTTGGGAGTCGCTTCTCAAGGGTAAAGGGGCCCAGGAAGCCTGGATGGTCTTCAAGAAGGAAATCTAAAAGGCACAAGAACAGGCTGTCCCTGAGTGCTGTAAGGCAAGACGTAGGGACTCATCCAACTGGTGTGGATGAGCCAGGAATTACTGTTGAGAATCGGGGAGAAAAAGAGAGTTTACGTTCTCTGGAAGAAGGGACAGGCTACCTGGGGAGATTACAAAGAAGTAGCTAAGGTATGCAGGGAGGAAGTTAGGAGGGTGAAAGCCCAACTTGAACTCATGTTGGCATCTGTAGTAAAAGACAATAAAAAAAATCCTTGTATAAATATATCAGCAGCAAAAGAAGAACCAAAGATAATTCTCCTCCTATACTTTATGCATCAGGGAATGTGGTCACTGAGGTCAAGGAGAGGGCTGAGGTCCTCAATGGTAAGGAGGATGTGGGGAACTATAGGCCTGTTAGCCTGACCTCAGTACCAGGGAAGGTCATGGAGCAAATAATCTTGAATGAGATTGCACAGCATGTGCAAAGTGTCCAGGGGATCAGGCCCAGCCAGCACGGGTTCATGAAAGGCAGGTCATGCTTGACCAACCTGATCTCCCTCTGTGATTGGGTGACCAGTCTGGTAGATGAGGGAAGGGCTGTTGATGTAGTCTTCCTAGACTTCAGCAAAGCCTTTGACATGGTCCCCCACAGGCTTCTTCTGCGGAAACTGGCTGCCCGTGGCCTGGACAGGTATACCCTTCTTTGGGTAAGGGACTGGCTACAGGGCTGTGCCCAGTGGGTAGTGGTGAATGGAGTGAAGTCCAGCTGGTGACCCATTTCAAGTGGTGCCCCCCAGGGGTCAGTACTGGGGCCCATCTTGTTTAATATCTTTATTGATGACCTAGATGAGGGGATTGAGTGCGCCCTCAGTAAGTTTGCAGATGACACCAAGCTGGGAGGTGGTGTTGATCTGCCTGAGGGTAGGGCAGCCCTTCAGAGGGATTTGAATAGGCGGGATCACTGGGCCAAAGTGAATGGAATGAGGTTCAACAAGGCCAAGTGTCAGGTCCTGCACTTTGGGCATAACAACCCCATGCAGCGTTATAGGCTTGGGAATGAGTGGCTGGATGAGTGTGAAGAAGAGAAGGACCTGGGGGTGTTGGTTGATGCTCGGCTGAACATGTGCCCAGGTGGCCAAGAGGGCCAACGGCATCCTGGCCTGCATTAGAAATAGTGTGGCCAGCAGGAGCAGGGAGGTGATCATCCCCCTCTACTCAGCACTGGTGAGGCTGCACCTTGAGTACTGTGTTCAGTTTTGGGCTCCTCACTACAGGAAAGATGGCGAGGTCCAGGAGCGTGTCCAGTGAAGGGCAACAAAACTGGTGAGGGGTCTGGAGCACAAGTCTTATGAGGAGCAGCCTCTTCTCCCAGGCAATGAGCAGGACAAGGGGTAATGGCCAAAAGTTGTATCAGAGGAGGTTTAGGTTGGACATAAGGAAGAACTATTTCTCTCAGAGAGTGGTCAGGCGCTGGAATGGCCTGCCCAGAGTGGTGTTGAAGTTGCCGTCCCTGGCAGTGTTTGAGTAGCATCTGGACGATGTGCTGTGTGATATGGTTTAGTGCTTGTGGTGGCAATGGTGACAAGGAGATGGTTGGACTAGATGATCTTACAGTTCGTTTCCAACCTTGCGATTCTGTGATTTTTGTAATCCTGTTTGGAAAAAATATTTTCTACAGTCTCAATGGCATAAGATAGAGCAGATTTAAAAAAAAAAAAAAAAAAAAAAGGTGGAAAAAGGTAATGCCTCATCAGCCATGTGATGCTAAGAACAACGTAGCTGTTAAGTCACCTGAATATTTATAGCTATTTCTCCAGAGAGAAGCACTACTAATAAACAATAGTTTATTATACTAAGAGAATTAACAAACTGATTTCATTTTCAATAGCGTCTTTGATCCTAAAGGAACAGCCAGTTTCCTATATGTCTCCCAACTGTGGGTTTTTTTTTTTTTTTTTAAAACAAAAAAAAAAAAAAAAACCCACAAGCATTCATGTTTTATGGCTTTCATCTTATTCATCCTTATTGGTTATTTAATAGAAAGGGATAAACCTGTATCTCTGTAAAACCAAAGATCGCTCTGCACTTCTGTATTCCTCCTTATTGCAAGGTCTCTGCAGGGTCTGCATACAGTGCTGTAGGGTGACTGAATTTAGTTCCAGTGATATACTATTGTCTCCTAATGTTTGTATTGTGTTAGAACCTTATATATTAAGATCTCCATCGTGCTAGATCTTGTGAAGAGATTTTGTCAGAGAAGTCAGTCCGTAGTCCTGCCAATCTACAGTCTAGGTCAGAGATGGCAATGGAAAGCTTAGTTAGTCATTAGATCCAGTGAAGTTCACACATACAGGAATAGAATTGACACAACTTAACAAATGTACCATGAAGCCTATGGAAAAATAAAGCGCAAATAATCTCTGGGCTCAGTTCTGCTATCATATAGGAAAGATTTGAAAAAGTTCAGTTATATAGTTGGGTGATGAACCACCAGAAAGCAAAACATTAGGTTACACTCCCCAAATGTCGGGCTCATATGGGATCTATAAATGGTTAGCTTTAGATCAGAATATTCTAGATTGTAACAAACTATTTACTAAAATAACTTGAGGAATTGGAGGATTACTTTGCTGAGTCAATTTTTTTTTTTTTTTTCCTTGAGTGACTGGTTCCCTTTCAGACTGAAGTCTGCTTAGCAAATATGGTGTTTTTGTGGGAATAGGTCTTCAAATTAAGCAGGGGTTTCTTAGTGCTGAGTGACAGGTCAGTAGAATTAAATTGGTCAGATATCTCAGTTGTTATGTTCTACGCAGATTTTTAGTTTGGCCAGAAATTAATAGAGGAGATGACGCTCCAACAACATTCACTTGTCTAAATCTGAACACCACTGTTATGGAAGGGCACAGCACTGAGCTAACCTCACTATGTTTGGGTAACCCTGATGCAAAGAAACGCTCCAAAATTCACTCTTTAAATTGGCTTTATGTGTCTTGCAGCCTGAAGAAAGGCAGGAGGTATATATTGTAGGCTAGCATCTGACTCCTACATATATTCCATGTCCTGAAGTTTGGATATTTAGCCAAACCTTGTCTGCAGTACTGCAGATTCCTGGCTCTAGAAATAATTTAAGCAAGCTTATGATTCTTCCTGCAAGCTGGTGTTGGACTGGAAGACAGATATGAAGAAGGAAGAAATTCAAATTGAATTGAATAGATATTCTAATTATTTTTGAATACGAATGAGGTCAATACTGATTTTCAGTTTAAGTATTAATCTTCTCAGCAGTGTGTGCAAGGGTATTACATATCTCATCTGTGTTCAGAATAAGATATATTTGTCTGCCAGTTCTTCTATTACTTTGGCCTCTGTAATAACAAGTAATGCCCTCTCAAATTACACTTTCTGCTACTAGAAAATTATGACATAGATGCTGTCACTGAAACCTGGGGGGGATTATTTCCACAAGTAGAGTGAGACTATCAGCATGTACAAGCTGCTCAAGCTGCATGGGATTCTAAGCAATCTGACTGAGCTCCACATGTCCCTGTTCACTGTAGTTGGACGTGACATTTAAGGGTCTCTTCCAACTCAATTCTGTGATTCTATGACATATTCTTAAGAAATGCATGTGTGTACATGTGGCTTAAACGGCTTCTTTTTCTTTTTTTTTTTTTCCCCCAGATCAGGCTTAACGCTGCATCTGAATTAAAGCAATCTTCATTTTTATGAAGCTTTTGAATTCTTTGGAAGTAGATGGATTTATAAATCCAGAGCTGGAACAAAATTAATTGTGAACCTTAAAAGAGAGACTATACTTCCAAAACATGAGGGTAAGTATGACCTTACTGTAAAACTATGTGCTCTAGCCTCTGGGTAAAAGTGGTGCATGAGAGGTTTATTTATGTTTAGGGGTGTAAATAAACAGTAAGCATTTGGACACTTCTAATATTTCAAATGGAGTCTGCCAGCAGTCTTTTATTTCTGTTATGGCTTCAGGACATTAAGACCACGGAAACACAGCTAAATTAAATGTTGCAAATGCAGAAGTATTTGTGGCACTCCTTGCTCTCTGAGGGCCTCGATTCAATTGAACGTGTGCTTTACTTAGAGGTAGACATAGCAGCAGTCTGGCATGCTACCCTCAGACTAAACTGTTTTCCTAAGTAGAGGTGGCAGAACCAGGTCCTTAGTTTTAATCGATCTGATGTTTAAACAAGGGTAACCCTGTATTGATCACAACTAGCTTGAAAATTATACTGAATGCCTTTATACAAATACAGTGGGATTTTTTTAAGCTGTAGGAGTAAAACTATTTTGCTCATGGAGACACAGTAGATTTTACAGGGGTAAAATATGCCTGAAAGCATGTGGGCCATAAGGACAATCAATTATGAGAAAGTCATCCTTTCCACATGTAACTTTTCCAAATCTCAAGCCTTTCTTACTGTATTACTTGGAAAATGTCAAAACAATAACAGCAAAATTCCCCAGGTAACACCTGAAGTCGCAATAGTCAATTGTTGTTTTCACACTTTCTGTGATCAATTGGTTTCTATACACAGGGACAAAATTAACATATATAGATACAGTCTCTGCACTTAGCCCAGAAGCAACTTGTATGATTGAAAGAGGCTGTACTGGAGTGGCAAACTCTGTATATTATACCCTTCATAGCATTCTGCTGTAGTCCAAGCACAGGCAGAGAGCCATATAAATTCCACATTAATACTCTCTGAAGTTAAATGTGATAACGTACAAGCACTTGGATGCTCCACTAATCACTATTTTGTACAATATTCCAGTAATTCATCAAGGAATTATGAGTTCTGTGCTTTCTTCAAGCTGAGAATGCTTGAACCTATATCTTTCATATGTTATGGAAGTGCTTAGGCCATGAGGTATTTTGGTTAACTTGTTCTCCACCCTTTCTCTTGAAGTACAGCCAGAAATGCTGTATCGTGGGCCAGAAGGAGTACAGCCAAGAAGAAACCTGACTCTAGCTTAAGGTTCAGGCATTTCATTAGAAAAGGAAGAAAAAGAGCCAGCGATGCCAGCTTTTGATGAGCTTCCCTCATACGTGTGCACACTATATAACTGTTAGAACAGTCCTGAGAGCAGGGTAAGGGCCATGAAGTCCATCATTAGCAACTCAGCTGAGAAGATAGCTAATATGTACTGTAGTTGTGTGCTTGTAATAGCTCTGTGAAATACAGTTTCAATAAACCTTATGTTATTTCTCATGTCTATAGGTAACATTGTAGCATTTGTTTTTTCTGTTTTCTTTTAGTTACCAAGTGGTTCCTGTTACCAAGTGCTTGGTTGCCAATCAAATCATCGCCTTCTAGTTATTGCACATTTGGAAGACAGTTTACTTAGGCTATTTATTAAGGAAATACAGCACCCCACTTAGTACCTGGTATGCTACGTATAGTTCCCTATCTGGGAACTATACATAATACTTAAATTCCATAAAATCACTGTTTATATAAAGGGTTCCCTTTCATTCAATTTGGCAGCTATCAACATTGTGTCTTAAGAACACTGCTTTGTAGTGCTGCAGGCCTCATTCACTTGCCTTCCGCAGAGAAGCAGAAGCCTTATTTGATCTACAAGAATGGACATTTACACAGTCTGCATTTAAATGTTTATGCACATATACATACAACCATACAATTGCTCAGGTTGGAAAAAGACCTTAAAAATCAAGTCCAACTGCAACATAATCATACTGCTCTAACAGCCCTCTGCTACCTCATACCCCTGAGCACCATATCCAAACAGTTCTTAAATGTACATGTATTCACAGGAAATTCTTCTATCCATAACCAACCAACATTCCCACTTAATAGTGAAGAATTAGACTCTGAGAATATTGGTCTATAGGGAAGAAGTTTAATCCTGTCTGAAGTACAAAACATCCTATTGAATCTCCTTCAGCTTTGCTGCATATGCAATTAGTAATTCGAGATTCAGAAAACAGAAACAAATAAGAGGAAGCTCAACAAATAGAACTTTGCTTGAGAAACAGAAAAATAAAATCTCCCTAAGGTATTACATGAAAGACAGTGGAAAATCTTGACCTTTCTGCGGTCAGCATTATGTTTAGACAATACTGTATATGATATGATCTCTTAGTGGGGCATCTTGTCAAGGGTCAGCTGCTCACAAAGATGGTTAACATTTACTGGCATGCACAAAATGGGCACTGCAAAACCTCAGTCAACTGGAAACCCTTGTCAGTTGGATGCCTAATTAGATTACTTCAGCTTAATTACATATTGTATTTAATAACAATTTAACAGAGGCTAATATACTTCACATGTCTTGGTCTCAAAATGATACTTTGCCCAAGATAGTCTATATGTCTTACTCAGTTTCCACAAAATATATTACTGTATTACACCTAATCTCATTTGTGAAATATGATGTCAACTATTTATTCCAATTTTTGAACAAAAAGTGAATAGTTGCTATACCAATTGTTACATCACAACATGTTTAATATAGCATACATATTACATCATAACAGTTCAAAACAATGATGGTTGATGTTTTAGGTAATTTTTTTTTTTTTTTTTTTTACCTGTGCAGTAAACGCAGGGGAAAACATCCTTAAGAAACCTTGAAAACTGCAGCCTTCCTGCTGAGACATGGTTTGACATTGAGTTCAAGAACAGCAGACAGATCTTCTGGACTATTTTCAAACTAAGCTGAGGAAAACGAAAATAAGAACACAAAAAGAAAGAACCAAATGCATTTAAGTTGTATAATTGATTTTTATAAGAATTTGCTCATTTCAACTGTGTTAAAATAGAGTTCTTCTCTGTTCATGTATGAGCTCTTCCCCGAACATTGTTACTTTACTCTGGAGTGGCCTAAAGAAAATAAAGTGTATAATGGCCTACTGATTTGCTCTGTGTTTTGATACTTGTACATATGTAATTATTCATGATAGAAGCTCTGTGACCTGTGTTGGGTAAAGCAATGCTTGACAGAGGTCTCTGCCAGGCATTTTTAGGGATTTGGGCACAAACAGAAGCAATGGAGACAGATGGATCTCTAACCTGTACTTCTGAGACGTTCCTCAGACCATCAGGGAACAGTGGGCAACTGCAAGAAAGAACAGGCCTTTGCAGTAATCACACAAGATAGTAGTGAGGTCTTATACTGAGAAAAATGTGTAAATTTTTATATGTTATATTCAATTAACTAATGTTATGAAGAAATATTTTTCCATTTTCCATTATTTCCATTTAATATTAAATAACAACTTACTCTGTGAAGGCATGCACAGTAATAAATTAAATGTAACAGTGAGAGAAAAGGAACCCATCTAATTTTCATGGAACTCTTCAATTTCTCCCCTTTCTATTCATTTTTATTCCTTGGAATAATCCTCATAACATGGCTGTGAGTCTGAATCAACATATTTGAATAACAGGAAATAACAGAGAAAAAGACTGAAAGTGACTGCATGACTAAAAGGTCATTCCTACCCTTGCCCAGATATCTTGCTTTCAGCCCATCCTAATTCAATTAGGAGAGGTAGTTGGAATATTTCAGATAACTGCAATTGTTTCAGCAGACAGGGAGAAAGATAATAGAACTAGGTGAGACTTATCTACAGTAACTCAGTTTTATGTTTTAAAATAACTATGTTACCTATACCACAACATAGTGATGATAGCTATGTTGGAAATGGCATTTATAAAGCACCTTTGACCACTTCACCTGAACTTAGATCACTAATACATCTGGCCCAAGACAATTTCCAACACTCTCAATCTGTCAACAGTTCCAAGCAGCTGCCATCTCAAAAATGAAGCCAGACTTTCAGACAAATGTCTTTCCCTCAAGATGTGGAATTGTTATTTTCTTTGCTCCTCTCATAAATTCCACTGTTGTGATGTGGGATCAGTAACTGGTCCTTGACAAGGTGACTGAAGAAGTGGCAGATCCAGTAGCTGATAAACCATTTTAAATGGAGATAAAAGATTAGTCACACTCATGATCTGGGACTCCCAATTCTGAAGAAATATGGGAATAACTTCAGCCCAAAATAAGCAGTGAAACATGATTATACTCAAAACTGCAAAAAGGGTACCTAAATCCTACTGTTATTTTTCAAAGATTTTAAGAAATTTTTGCTTACATGCTTATGAAAAAAAACCCAAATTCCATTTTCATTGTAATACTATAGTCACTGGAATTAATATTTATATGTGAGAAGAAGTGATGACAGGAATCTGTTTGAGTGAGAAAAAGGACCGGAAACTCCACTGGTCCCCATCTACTTCAAGTTTCCATTTACAAAATTCTCATTTTTACCAGAACCAGAATTATATACCTGGGTTAGAAGAGCATCCACAAGTATGGACTGTTGAGCAAACATGCACCTCCTACAGAACACAAAAGAATTTTCTCTTCATGAAGCTCAAAGGGCTGAAGGGCTATGGCTACATTACAGCTCTCAACAATACCAACAGCTCCCTTCTGATGCTTTCAAACCATTTCTAGGTGTAGAACTAGCAATTTCAAATATTCCTGAAACAATATGACTACGGCACAACGTGGAGATGCCCTGTTAGCACAGTGGCCAGAACAGTGCCTGCCTTGTGCTTTTAAATCTGCCCATAGTACTCTGGTAGAGAGGATAGATGTATTACATTTAGTAGAAGAGGTTAAACTTGTGCAGGGGCTCAACAGCAAAATTTTAAGGTTTTTCATTAGGTACAGATCTATTTTCTTCCAGTTGGCTGACATTTTCAACTTGAGGTAAACTGATTTTGCAGTTGCAGAAAGGCAAAACAGTAATACCAATAAAACTGTTTAAAGTATGCTAAAAACACATTAAGTCATTTCCCCGTACTCCTCAGAAACACTGCAATAGCAGCTAAGTGTGGTTGGAAGTATGGTTTTATTTGTATTGATTTTTCTGTTACCTGGGTCTTCAAGACACAAGCAATGTGATTAATGCCAATGAACACCAGCAGCCTTTACATGTAGCACCAGAAATAAAGACCAAAAAAAAAAGCAGCTATTCCATACAAAACCATGAACTTTATCATATCAAATGTATTTAAATTTTGGATTTTACTTCTGTGCCTCACATGGCACGTGGAGCTGTTGTTAGAGCAAATTTGACCTAGTTCTCCTTTAATTCAGATGGAGTTGAAAGTACTGAATACTAATGAGCCATCTAAAACAGGCCTAAGCACATAGCTTTTCAAAACAAAAAAAAATTCTTTGGAAGAAGGAAATAATATACAGAATCAGACATTCACTGCATAAATCAATAACACTTTACGTGATAGATAAAACAATCTCTAAGAAAATCCTCTTTCTGGGGTTTTTAAACCATCCCACAGAATTTAATAGATAGCTCAGTTGCTGCATAAGATGCAGGAGCTTGAAAAAAAAAAAACAACTATGCAAAACATATAAGGTATTTCCAGTCACCAAATTATTGTTCTATATAAGTTATATAAGTTCTATATTAGCTTGTATGAGGCCTTATTAAGTGGCAGTATGACAGTTTAATTAATTTTGTGTTCTATCAGGTTTTTTCATCCCTGGGATAGGCTGTTCAGTAAGATCATTTTTTTTCTTTGTGAACTTTCCATTACAGCAAACAAAGTACTTCAAAACTTTCCTGGAAACAATCACTGCTGTTAAAGAGGAATCAGTGATATCAGTTATTCCAGATCACGTGCTTTTTTTCACTTCTATTTTTTAAAATAGATCTGTTTAGAGAACACACTCCACACAATCTGGATGTTATGAAATTATGCAGTTTATCTTTTGTTGGGTTTATCTAGCTAGCTATGGATTAAAAAAAAACCTTTTCTTTCATTAAAACACATGAGCACTAGCAAAAGGTGGCTCTCCTTAAATAAATCCCATTTCATAATATTAAAAAGAAGAGTTCGTTATCTGTCAGTTAAGTGAAACTGCTTCAGTCTTGAGATGTGCCAGCATCAGAAAGCTTTGGTGACTGTATAGACACCGCAAAGACCAACGTGCATTACTCCACGCAGAAGAATGGAACCAGAGCAGGTGAAAATTTGTCACTGCTATGACAAAATAACTCCTTAAAATAAACCAAACATTTTTCAGTGTTAAATTTGGCGCTGTATTAGCTGCAGTAGAAATTATAGCCCAATTACTGCTTGTTGAAGTATCCTACAACTCAATTTTCACACCAGTATTTCAGAACTCCAAAAATACAGAAACTAATGTTGTTATTCACGTGGTGTAGAAAAGTTGGCAAGAGTTGTTTCTTCCAGAGCAGAACTAGCTGTTCAGAATTTTGAAGGAGTTTTGTAATCAATAGCATCTAACATGTGACCAGCTTTTGAGAACTCAGCACTTGGAAATAGACCTAAGAAGTAATCCTACTTTTAATTACAGACCTGTGACTAGAGGGGATCTTGAGTGTAACGCTATAACGTGGTGGAAAGTACAGCAATAATAGCAGGGTAGCAACACCTTTGGCTGCAGCAAATAAGAACCAGCAAGGAGGAGAAGGAGAAAAAAAAAAAAAAAAGCTTGACTTACTTTCAGAAGACTCCAGATACCAGATATGCAGGTACCTTCAGTAAGATACTCACACCTCCACTACCAACCCTTAAATGAGATCTGGGAAGGGGTGGATCCTGGCTCCACCCCTTTCAGTCACTCAGGTGCACTGCTTGCACCTGAGTTCCCCTCGGTTGGCCCTGCCTTGCCACCAGGTGCTCAAATCACTGCTTCAAGCTGTGACTCAGCATTTCTGTTACACTGAAAAACTGGCCACTGGAACATCTTTTGTGTGATTACCATACATTCCCCAAAAAAGGGAGTGATGTGAAAAGAGGTATGATGAAGGTAGTCCAAATGGTTTGAGAGAAGAATGAGAATCAAAATAGCTTTAGCTTAAAAGCTTCCTAGGTAGTGGAAATAAAGACTGCAGAAAATTATACTCAGTCACAGTTTTTACACCTCACTAAAAATATGTGTAGTCACAGTGGATTCATTATGAATACTCTGTAATACCACAAAACCAAACTTTGCTAAATCACCTACCTTTAGCCTATGGATAGAGCAAATGTATTGATAGGCATTTATACTGGGAAATAATTTTACAGGGAGAGGAAATGTGAGGTTTTCCACAGGGTCTATCTTTTTTAGAAATTTCTTCTGTAAAAAGCTCTGTTTCAAGCAAAGGCAGAGGATGTTCTGTAACTATTTATCCCTACTCTGCGGCTGAGGGAATGACAGCACTCTCATGCATGCCACATAGGAAAAAAGAGGCCAGGCAGCCAGCAGGAGTCCTCATGTGAGAAAAGCCTTCCAAGGGAAAAGGGGGCTCACTGAGCTTTCCTATTCACTCTTAAGCTTCTGGAGGTGAGATTGCACCTTGGGACAGTAAAGACAGTTGGATTTCTGTTCCCGCTGCATGATGAACAAGTTAAGATGGTGTGAGCAGCTCACAAGGGAAGAAACCCACATCTGCAGGGTCGACAGTGGCCTTATATGGAAGATTTTTGGCACGGGGCCCCTTTTACTACAGGCATGGATGGGATTATGATGAGGACACACTAATGTTTGCTAACCACAACAGAGCTGCCCTGTTTGACGCCACACATACTGAAGAGACTGTAAAAATTCCTTGGGGGCTTTACGGAAAATAGATCTCAGTTTTAATTCTGCTCTGTGATTAGTTACTGCTTTTTATTTATTTATTTATTTATTTATTTATTTATTTATTGCACCCACGGATTTATCTGTTTTGTGCAGTATATACACCAGTTTACTTTCTGTTAGCACAGCAATGCCTCAACGCCATGTGACAACACAGGGCTTTATGTACTAATGGTGCCTACAGAAAACCTATTGAGAACTTACCATGGCTCACATTATCAGATTCTTTCCTTCCTAGCATTAGATCCACCGAAACATCTGTAAGCCTGCCCCGCTAAATAAAATTGCCTGACTTGTAGAAAAGAATGAAAGCAGCTCTTGTAGAGTCTGTGTTTATAGCATGTCATGTGGTAGAGCTTGGTCAGAATATTTTTGAAGTTAAATAGTGTTTAGAGAAGTTCCAAAACAAAAATCAATCCAAGAAAAAA